CTATTGCAATCACGCAGTGAGCACGAGCACGGAAATATCTTTTATCCAATAATTTTAAACTATGGCTTTCTCTGGCCACTCCCCAGCGGCTTCCGTCAGGCGCCATCTTTATCTCTCCTGTCCAGGCGAATGTTTTCCACAGATTACATACGTGTATGTGGGTGGGGTCGTGGCTAGTTCTCTGCCCTGGGAGAAAGTGTGTGGCCTCACGGCCCCAACAGTTACCCACGGTCAACTGTGGTCCAAAAATATTAAATGGAAAATTCCAGAAATAAACAATTCAGGGGCCAGCCCGTGGCTCACTTGGGAGAGTGTGGTGCTGATAACACCAAGGCCATGGGTTTGGATCCCTATATGGGGATGGCCAGTTAGCTTACTTGGGAGTGCGTGATGCAGGCAACACCAAGTCAAGGGTTAAGATCCCCTTACCAGTCATCTTTAAATTAACAACAAAAAAAGAAAGAAACAATTCCAAAGTTTTAAATTTTACACTGTTCTTAGTAGTGTGATGACATCTTGCACTGTTCTGCTGTGTCTTGCTCGGGGCATGAGTCATTTCTTTTCCAGTACATCTGTGGTTTAAATGCTACTTGCCTGTTAGTCACTTAGCAGCGGTCTCGGTTATCAGATTGACTGTCTTGGTATCACAGTACTTGTGTTCAAGTAACCCTTATCTTGCTCATTGGCCCCAAAGTGCAAGGATAGTGATGCTGGCAGTTTGGATATGCCAAAAAGAAGCTATAATTTGCTTCCTTTAAGTGAAAAGGTGAACGTTCTCGACTTTTAAGGAAAGAAAAAAATTATATGCTGAGGTTGCTAACATCTGCAGTAAAAAAGAATGTTCTGTTCATGAAATTGTAAAGACAATGTTACAGTGTTGTTTTAATTGTTCTATTTTGTTATGAGTTGTGTAAATCTCTTATTGTGCCTAATTTATAAATTAAACTATCACAGGTGTATATGTATAAGAAAAAACATAATATATATAGCTAGGTTTCACTAATATCTGCAGTTCAAGCATCCACTGAAGGTCTTAGAACTTATCCCCCACAGATAAGAGGGCACTACTATAAAAACAAAGTGAGGTATACACATACAATGTAAGATTACTCAGCCTTAAAAAGGAAGGAAATTCTGACAAATGCTACTATATGGATGA